CCTTTTGTAAAATCGGAATTTGGGCGAGCTACACTTTGAGTTTGATTTTAAAACAGAAAATTATCCACAATTTGTAAACTCGGAATTTGGGCGACGTCACTGTAAAATCTGACTTATCTCTACTCGGTCGATACCCGACTAAGTTACCAGGCCACAAGCCCTCTCGCCTTATCGGCTCAGGGCTGGAAGGCTAGTGTACCGTCTAGGTAAAAATCCGACTGATCTCTACTCGGTCGATACACGACTAAGTTACCAGGCCACAAGCCCTCTCGCCTTATCGGCTCAGGGCTGGAAGGCTAGTGTACCGTCTAGGTAAAAATCCGACTAGTGTACCATCTAGGTAAAAATCCGACTAGTGTACCATCTAGGTAAAAATCCGACTAGTGTACCATCTAGGTAAAAACCCGACTAGTGTACCATCTAGGTAAAAACCCGACTAGTGTACCATCTAGGTAAAAATCCGACTTAACTAATCCTCACTCATTGCGCGGCCTCGTAGCAAGAACGGTTGAGGAAATCCCTATGTTCTCGGGGCCCATAAGGCCCATGGACGACGAAGTATAAAACCTAAAATCCTAAGGCTAAGAAGGCAGATTACACTTTTGAATGCTCTGGCTTTGAGGCTTGACCTAGGCAGAAACCCTAGCGCACCTCGTGGCCCAAAGAGCCCATAAACAAGAAAGTATAAAACCTGAAACCCTAAGGCTAAGAAGGCAGATCACACTTTTGAATGTTCTGGCTTTGAGGCTTGACCTAGGAGAAAACCCTAGTGCACCCTTTGGCCGGAACATATATAATTGATTTGTCATATTTTATTATAAATTTTATCTTTTTATAAATTAAAATTAGGTGAATGATGGCTTATATTTTTTAAAATATTATTGTGATGTATAATTTATGCTTAAAAATTATATAATTATTTTTTATATTTTATTTTGTTTTTAATTAAAATTTAATTTTTTAAGTTTTACAATGGTATAAATTTTTATAAATATTTTGAATAATTATACATCCAAATTTTTTAAAATTATATAAATATTTTTTAATATGTATAATCAAATATAACAACTTATTAAAATTTAAACACATATAACATAAATTTTTATTATCTAAGAATTTATTAAATATAATTTTAAATAAATCATTTATCTAAATGGAGACTAAGATGTATTTAACACTGATCAAAGCATATATCGACAATTTGTCCCTTCAATTAAAAAAAATAAGGATACATCTCTCTCTCAATATATATAT